CATCAATATTTTCCTAACTTCGCCCTTAAAGAATGTGGCCAAGTGAGCCAATACATTGTCTAAATATCTATTTTATTCCCTCTTCCCGAGCTTCGAACTCTCCATTTATTTGATTGACCACAAATTGAGAATCATTATAACAATAATGTTTTTTACATGCAATTCGATAACTAACCTCAGCCCCATAATTAATGCCTCATATTCGGCTTCATTATTCAAAACTTTGAATTCGAACTTCAAAGCATACTAAAATTTTAGATCTTCTGGGCTATTCAAAATTAGGTCAGCCTTACTTTTTTTACTAGTATCTGACTCATCAAAGAAAAGCTTCCACATTTCTTCGTTTTAAACCTTATCGATCTCCACGAACTGAGCTAAGGTGCATTCAACGACAAAATTTGCTAGTACCTATGACTTTAAAGCAAACTTGAAGAGTACATATTAATCGTATTCACTAAGCTCCACTGTCCATTGATCAGTCTTCTTGATAAATCTAGCTTTTGTAAGATTTGCCTAAATGATTGGTCGATCAGAACATTAATTGTGTGAGCTTGGAAATATAGCTTGAGCTTTTTAGTTGACATGACAATTGCATAAGCTAGTTTTTCTATCCTAATGTAATTTATTTTGAACCCTATCAAAACTTTGCTAATAAAATATACCGACCTCTGCCTTCTTTTTTCTTTCCTGACTAGTACCAAGTTGATTACCTGGTCGATTGTAGTGACATACAGATATAAGACCTCATCGAGCCTTGGCTAAAAGAGGATAGAATGAGAAAAAAAAATTCTTTCAACTCATCAAATGCTTTTTGATAATGAAGTGTTCATCTAAATTCTGAAATGTTCTTAAAAATTTTAAAGAATGACAGCCATCAATCTATTAATCTAGACATAAATCTACTCAAGAAAAATACTTTTTTAGTTAGCTTGTGCATTTATTTACTAAGATCAATGCTTTCAGGTCAAGGATGGCCTGAAATTTTTTTAAGTTTGCCTTTATGCCCTTTTTGTTAATCATGTAATTGATGAATTTTTCCAATGTGACCCTAAAGTTATATTTGCTTAGATTGAGCCTCATGTTATACCTTTAAAAAATATTAAAGGTCTCCTCTTGATCTTTCAAATGCTTGTCTAAGCTCTTACTCTTCACAATCATATTGTTTATATAAACTTCCATATTTTGGCCAATCTAATCCTTGAAGACTTTTTTGACCAATCTTGGCATGTTACTCTTGCATTTTTCAGCCCAAAGAGCATGAGCTTATAGCAATATATGCATTTTTTAGTGATAAACGCTATTTTTTTCACCTCTTTTAGTTTTTTGGTTTGATTATAGTCGAAACAAGTGTCCATAAAGCTGAGCAAGCCATGTTCGGCATTGTCATCAACCAGCTAATCTATGTTGGGTAAAGAAAAACTATCTTTTGGACAAGCTCTATTGAGGTCGTTAAAATCCACGCATGTTTTCAATTTTTCATTGTTCTTTATCATTACTACATTTGCAATCCAGTCAAAGTAGTAACTCTTTTTGATAAAGCCTATTTTTAGCAATTTGCCAACCTTTATTGTCTTTTGCTTCTTTGGGGTAAAAGTTTTTTTCTTTTACTGAATTGGTTTCATGTTCAGATCAATGAGTAGTTTATGGACCATAACCTCAGGTCTATCCCAGGCATATGATAGGATTTAAGTAAATAGGTTGGCATTGTATCTTAAAAGTTGGATTAACTGACTTTTTATGGTCGAGCTTTCCTCCAATTTGCATGTAATTTTCAAAATCATTTTCCTAAAACAGTACGGAGACGAGGCCTTCTATTGGTTCTAATTGATTTTCATCGATCTCTGTTCTTTGATCAATTATTTTTTTACTATTAGGTCGAGATTGTTTCCTGTAAGAAGGATGAATCCTAACATGGTAGTTAGTTTATTGTTACAGAACCATACAAAATGTAGAACTATATGTCAAATTCTCTTTAATTACCTTAAAAGCTTAATTTTGTTGATGTGTATGTATGCTAGCTTAAAAGCTTAGCCTTTGTAGAATCATTCAAAAATTACAAAAATTTTGTAACATGTAAAGTTATGGAGCTTAAGAGCTTAAAGTGACTTAGGAATAGTTTTTTTTTTTTCGGTTTCATGTTCCCTTTTATCGATGTTGTATTGCTTTGCTTCTTCAACTTCCCTAACTTTTTCTCCTTTCACATCTGTCTTCTCTAGTTCTTCTACTTTGGCTGAACTGTCAATCTGCTTTTCAATCCTTCCTTTTATTTTGACATATAACACTATCGCGTTATGGACTGATCTTTTCTAACCTTCCTAACTCCATTTAAGGTAAAAAACTTAATCTTTAAATGAGAAGCTGAACCGATAAATCCCATAACATAATGGTTAAGTCAGCCAAAGATCATGTTGAATGTAAAAGGAACATCAACTATCATAAATTCTATAACCTAGGTGATGCTTCTCGACTCGGTGCCTAATGTGATTGGTAGCTTAATAATTCATTTACTAACATTTGTTCATTTTCAAAATCAACCAAAGTAACTATGAATATCTTTAACATTTCTTTCCTTATGCTCATCCTCAACATAGTGGCTTAATACAGCATATCAGTCGAGCTTCCACTATCAAATAAGACCCTTCTCACTATATGGTTGTACATTATAGCAATAACCATAATCGTATCATGTGGGAACTAAATTCTTTTCAAATTTTTTGAGCTTAAAGAGATTGACTCATCTTTCCATTTTTTTCTTTCTTAGCTAAGTACCCAATGGCCATAACCATCCCTTAATCAAACTTCCTCTTGATCAATGTAGAGCTTCCATCAGTTATCACATTGATAATACCCGTAATGGGCTTGTTATCTACAGCTCGATCTTCATCTTCTTCTTATTCATTTCTTTAGTTTCCACCTTTTCGATTTTTTTCTTACCTATTTTCTTGATTCATTCCTACTTCTCTTTTGTGATTACCTCTTTTGTAATCCGGCCTGTCCTGACCATGTTTAGATCATTCCATAAATTTGTGCAACCAACCTCTTCTAATCAGATTTTTTATTTCATTTTTTAGGTCGATGCTGTCTTCTGTGCTATGATCGATATCTCAGTGAAAAGAGCATCTTTTTCTTGGATCTTTTCTTATATTTTGCCCCAATGGCTTTGGCAATCTGAGCTTAGGATCCCTTTCTATATACATCAGAATTCCCCCTCTAGAGGTATTCAGTAATGTATAGTTCTTTTGTTTGCTCAGGCTCTTGGCCTTAGAGTACTTTGGTCTTTTCCCTATTGGGAAAGGATAATAGATTTCTTTCTCTTTTTTAGGCCAAGAAAAAGGGGGATGAGCCTCTTTCACCTTAATTTTCCATTGTAGCTTCATCGTTTATATATTTTTTTGCAACAAGTAACACATGGGCTAATGTCTTTGGTAGTTTTAAGGAAAGTGTGAGTTTCATATGGTACTGATGAAGCTGGCAACTGCAACAATCTACTCTAAATCTTTTACTTGGAAAGCTTCTGCGTTAAAACGTGTTACATAGTTTTTTAAAAACTCATTTATGCCTTAGTAGATTGACATCAAGCTTAGGATAGTCTTTTTTGTTTTTCTACTGCTTATAAATCAAGACAAGCAAGCATGACCGAGCTCTTTAAAAGTTGTGATGGACTTTGGCTTTAAACTATAATACCAGGATCGAGCTACCACTTTAACTGTGATAGCTAGTCCTTTACATATAAAAACTTCATCTGCCTCTTACATCATCATGTGAGTTCGATAAAGCTTTAAATGATCAAAAGAACCAATGGTAACTTTGTACGTCTCCAAGATTGGCATGTTAAACTCTTTTGAGGGGCATAGTTCTATTAATCTCCTTAGTAAAAGACGAGGTCATAAAAAATTCGAGCTCGTCCTCTATAGCCTGGATTCTAGCTTCCAAATCTCTATTCAACTAAGACTTTAGGTCGACTTGTTTAGTTTTTTGGATGGTAGCTTGGGTTGAGGGGTGAGTATGGTAATGGCTACCTAAAATGGTAGGTTCCTCTTCAACTAAGGTTGATGAGGCTTTAATGTCCTCGTAGCTCGATTGCCTTCAACCGATAGTCTTCCAAAAGGGACTAGGTTAAGTACTTTAAAAATTTACAAAAGTATGAAACTTTGAATCATCTCCTTGAAAGACTGTAACTATTAAGTTAAAGTTTGAAATTGCTTCATTATAGGACTTGCCTATGTAGGCACAAGTCGATTTATGGGTTGACTGGTTTGAGTTTCTTTTTCAAATTGGACAGCTAGTTTTTCCTCAAGAACTCTGGATGGCATAATATTTAACTCCTCTAGACAATGAATAACCTCTTACTTGGCTCATCAAATGTTTGTAGCAAACTCTGAGTTGAAATGTAAAACCTTGAAATCACAATAAAAAGAAATAGAATAATTAAAGACAGGTTGAATGCTTTCTTAACATTTGCACTTCGACGTTCAAGTCAAAAAAAAATTTAAAAAAAGATATGAAAAAAATTGTAAAAGTAAAATATAAGACCTGAATGATATTATTTATAGTTAAAAGTGAAGGATTTGAGATAACGTAAACTACCCACGATCAAACATATGATCAAGATGACCTGACAAACCTAACTAATCTTGAAATGGGAAAAAAACCATTTTGCCTTTTAGACCCAAAAATGGCCCTAACAATTTTCTTATTAAAAAAAAAACTCATATATATATATATATATTTACATTTTAACCAAAAAAAAAATTAGAAATTTGTTTCTAATAATTCTACATACTTTTTTTGAAATTTTAGTGAAGAAAAAAGATACAAGAATCACTAACAATTTAGACAACTTACTAATGGTAAATTTTAAATTTTCAAGAGTCTAGTGGAGGCAAATGCCCCCACCTGGATTCGTCTTGCTCAGTAGACTAAAAACAAAAAAAGTTTTGTTTGTCCACCATAATTTTCATGTGCACATGTTATTTCTATTCTCATTACAGAAATATTTACAAGGTCCAACAGGTCAACATACCTCACCTATGGAAATCGCTGAAAAATGTGTTCAGTTTTTGGATTCTGATGTACCATTCAAAATGATGTCCAGTTTTTCCCACTTGTGACTACAAGGCTTAGACTCGGGTAAGAAAATAAGTTTCATAGTCAAACCACAGAGCTTCAGCATCTACTTCTGATGTCCTTGGAAGATTCAAAATGGGGGCTGACCTGAGTATGCCGCTGAAATCTTGCAATGCAATCAAATCCAGTCTGGTGAATTTGGAGAATCGGAAAAGCAATATCCTCACTAAGTAGAGAAACATAGTAAAGAATACAATAGGAGATCTACATGCATTGTGTCTAACATCTAAACTAAGACCAAAACTGAGCATGGAACATAGCCACCCTGCAGAGAACTCTCAACTTGTACAAGGTCAATTTGCTTGCTCACCCTTTTATTATAGATCTGAAGCCTTCAACTTTCTTGGCCTTTTATGAGCTGGTGAAGATGGAGTCTCAGATACTCTTCCAGGTCCCTAGAAACAATATCATAAGAGGTCATTTGGAAACCTAACAAAGCAAGGAGACAAACGAAAACACAAAGACAAGCAAATAAAAAAGATTAAAGAACATAATTGGCACATACCTTGCGTTTCTGCTCCCTTTTGCCAACCCTTTCACCTGGAATCACAATTAAATATGAAAGTACTCAAAACCATAAAACTCTTTCATCTCAGAGAAAAACTAAAAGAAAATTAGATATATTACCTCCAAAGCTAATGGTGTCAGGGACAAATGTTCGATCCTGATCTGCAGCTCGAAGTGATCGCTGCTCAAATAACAGACTCAAAAATCACATGTCTATAAAACTAGAGGAGATCAAAAAAATCAGAAACTCAGATTTTCAACCTTAGGTGTGCCTGGCATATCACCATAGGAACCATCACGGAAAGATGAACCCTCTGCCTCCTTGTATTGCAACTGTTAAAAGACACATAAAATCCATGAACTCTGAAAGCAACACACCACTTCTAATCCTGTATACTACTAATCAATCATAATTCATACACTTTTAACACCTTAGCTTAATTACTTGCTGTACACTAGTAGTCAATCATATTTCATAATTTAGGTTTTCCCAGCTCAAATTCTAAAACCCCACTTTTAACACCTTAGCTTAATGGGTAAAAGTTAAATGAATGATCTAATTTATATTCAGAACTTCCTATCTATGAAGAAAAAGTAATCATATTTGGGACTTATACAAAAAATGAGAAATACAATGACTTCAATACATTTTTTTTCATAAATAATAAATTCATTAAAAGGAACTGGAGATGTGAACTATAATTAAATCATATAATAATTTTGTGAGAATTTTTTAACTGTAGATCTTTAACAAAGTCTGGCCCTCCGTTGAAACCTAAAAATGATACTGACATTGTCAGGGAAACACTGGGGGTCCGGGACAGAAAATGAGACACCTCAGAATCTAAAATAATGCTCAATCCAATCATGTGCATGTGCAATAGTGCATGAAAATCATTGATATTCATAAATTGTTGTCAGACGTTCACCAAGAGACTAAACATAAGCGTCTTAGTTTATCAAATAGCAAGTCATTCCTGTCTATCTAAAAGAAAAAAAAAAAAAAAAAAACAAAAAGGCAAAGTTAACAGGGGAACAACACTTAGTATTGCTAACAATCATAAGAGATATAGACAAAATAGAAGCCTAGATCGGATCAAAAAGTGGTAAGAGAAAAAAAAAAAACAAAATAAACAAAAAACCAAAAGGCAAAGTTAACAAGGGAACAACACTTAGTATTGCTAACAATCATAAGAGATATAGACAAAATAGAAGCCTAGATCGGATCAAAAAGTGGTGCAGTTATGCTAAAAGGAAAATAAATTTAAACATGATAAAATAAACTTTCATTCATCAGTTTACTTCTAAGGGGAAAAAGGAAATATAAAATAGAAGCAAAATGCAACTTATGCACATTTTCACATAACCACATGCAGTGAAGGGGTGGCACTCACTACATTGAAGGATTAGATATTATAAGACATGAGCAAAAGGAAGACTACTATTCTACAAATAATTTTGAGATACGAAATACCTGTTTCTGGAGATTTAGCAGAGTCAGAATTTCTTTCCTTAATTCCAGATGCTCGGCACAAACAGCCTTTGTTGGCACCTTTGGCTTTAAATTAACCTGTAAAGATTAATTTAAATTTTTACACCCAATTTCAGAAAGATAATTAAACTAGAACAAAGAAGAATGCTCACAAGATTTAGTATTGAGTTCCAGGAAAATGACTAGAAAGAAGGAACAAAGGATCTATTTTAGCCTAAATTGGCAATAATTATTAAAAGTAAATGATAAAACAGGATTAAGTTCTAGCTGTTAATAGGAGCAGTCATCTTACAATGACAACAACTATAAACAAGCACACTCAAATCAATGACAACATTCAAGTCATCTTACAATGACACATTCAAGTCAAATAATGTCTGTTCAACTGAATCTCTAGGCTATAAACAAGCAAACTCAAGTCAAAACGACCTTATGATCTGAGGAATCATACATTGAATATGTTCCTTCTGAAAGAGAGAACAATCTTCATGTATAGAACTTGCAATTTGACTTGGGTTGAAAAATGAAATAACCATATAAAAGAGTTTTCATATCTAGTCATCATGCATATGATATAACATCATCCACCAAAAACTGATCCAACAATATAGCTGAACAGCATCAAATTTCAGGGAGCATAGACAAACCCCAAGGTCTTGTAAGGTTTGCTCTACCCGCTTGATGGTCCTAAGTCCAGCAGATGAGCTTGCAGCTTGGACCATTTGCTCAAGGGCATAAGTTCTCAAATACACCCGAAGCTGAAAATGATATGAAAGCAGTTAGAGAACTTTTCTACAAGAGCAAAGAATATCCAGTAACAAACTTTAAAAAAATGCAAACATTCTTCTATATAAATTTCCAAGGAAAGGTAACATTTTCCTCAGGTATTTATTAGAGTATTTGACCATAAAAAATATTGGAAGCAAACAGAAACGAATTATTAAAGGGAAGCAGATATAGTAAGTCAGATTGCATACATTTCCCAAAGACAGAAGCAGCTTCCAATTTTATTTATTTTTATTCTTTGGAGAGAGAGAGAGAACAAAGAAAAATGAAGACCAGATGTTGCACATACCATACGCAAGGAAGCAAGAGTAGAGGTATTATCAGCCAATATTGAGGTAGAAGGTGCAACAGCTGCAGAGGGTACATGAACATTGGATGGAGATATAGCATCTCCATGACCAATAGCCTTCTCAGCATTTTCAGGACCAATATCTGATGTGACAGGCAAATCAGGTTCCTCGACACCCTGAACAGTATAAATAATAGAAAGCAATATTATTCTAGATTGTGGAAAACCCATGTGCAATCCCATATGCATGTACACAAAAACACACACATCCCTTCCTTGATTTCTTTCTGAGTTCCAAGGCAAGTATACAACATCAAATTTCTCACTCAAATCAAGTTGAAAATCTTATGCCTTTAGGTTCCAATTCAAAATTCAAGTGTGACATAACTGACAAAACTATTTAAACTCCCTTTTTTGAGGGTGCTGCAACTGCCCAAATAGCAGCTTTTCCACTTAATACTTACCTGTGCAGCCATGCGTGACTCAGCTATTCTTTTTGCTTCAGCAATAACCTGCAGAAACACACCATAGACCAGTAAAAAAAGAGTATGTATTCAATAAACCAGTCCACATGCAACTAGATGTTGGGAAGGTCACAAAATAAACTGCCATAATAAGTGCCAAAGAAATTTTATGTACCTCAGCATCTTTCCGCTCTTGATGCTTTGTTTGAGAAAGGACCATCGATAAAGCACGCTTACGTTCTGTCTCTTGAGAAACATTGTAGGGCTCCTATACCCAGAGGACAATATCAGAGATATACGGTATAACAATTGAAAAGAAATAATAATTTAATGATATGAGCAATAAAAAGGCTTATTCCTGTTACTAGAAATTGCAACATAAAAGTAAATCACTAGTATAAAATGTCGCTTATATACCAGACCTTAACAAGAGGATGCCCAGCAACTTCTCCAGGAGATGGAGCCCTAGCAATCAATATGGCTCGAGACACTGCATAATCACCATGAGAACCATATAACATCTCAAAGATAAATTGAAATAAAATCCACAGATGATAAATAAAATTACATGCAAATTAAAACAGTAAAAAGAACAGCGTGAGAGTGATCTGAATGATTGGCAATAGATAGTGTAAAAATTAGATTACCACTATAATAACGATCCTTCAGTTCCTCCACAGTACGGGATGTTGGGAACCTGTCAGCTATAATGATGAAGCGAAGATCAAATCGTTCGCAAAAGTCAAACAATTGGTCTGTCTCTTCCTTAGTCCATGTCTAATTAACAAGGTAAATCAAAAGAGAATTAACCTGGCAAATTGTACTCAAAGCAGCACAATTACAGGCCTTAATTCTACTATCTAATTTCACTATTTCAGTTAAACCAAAATGAAATAGCAATTAGTGGCAAAACAGAAACAAGAGCAGCAACCTCAAGTTTATACATACTGGATCAGTTAAATACTTCTCATACTCCTCATCTGTGTATCTGATAACATCAACAGACTGCACCACACCAGAAAAACAAACAAACATGTTCAATTTCATGAGCAAAAAATCCATATGAAAGGAAAAAACAAAGAAAAATTAAGTACATCATAAATTATTTTGCAACATAATATAGACAGAAAAAAAAGAAAAAAAAAAGCAAAATTTGTGCATACCTTGTTATACTTTGCAAAGGAATAATCACCTGTTGGCGGAACACCATTTACAACTCTCGCCTGTAAGGTATAAGAGAGACTATGAAATTAAATATGCCCACTTAGTTAAGGGAGAACTTTTTTCTTTAAAGAAACAGATACTTACCCAGTGGTAAAGTTGCAAATCATCCTTTCGGGCAGAGCTCGTGAAAGGAAGCCACTGCCATGTGATCTAAAGATAATTTCAAAATCATTAAGAAGCCCCAAATTACAGCATTGACCACCCAGAAATATCAATTTAACTTATTCAACATAAAATTAATAGTAACTTATATTTCTTATGCTCCATTTGGTAGCGGCTTACACTAACTTTTTCCTGTTTGCTCTTACTCCCTGAGATTTTGATATATGCAAATTATATCCATGAAACTCAAAATTCTAACCTTTGATTCCTCAAATATATATATATATATATTGCATTTGCATCCAAATTTACTTTATTTTATTTTCTATCAAAGCAAAATGCAAGCAAAAAAAAAAAAGCACTCTGACTAGCAAATGGAGTCTTGGCAAAACCTTCTCGTCGGATGGTGGGCGTCGTTTCAATTGAGAGACGTCAATTGAAGGCATAAGCGGAGCCAAACCTCCCGTAAGGGCATAAACCTACAAATTCCACCCAAAAAAAAGATTAAAAAAGAAGCCCTCTTTCACTCTGTTCAAGCTAAAAAATTGGAAAAAAAAAACCAACTAATTTTTTTTACCTCGCGAGATATGCCATCGGGTTTTCTCTGGGAATCTTTCTGGGGACGTGATTTCTTCTCTTGGGTTATTGGCAACGGCGTTTTGGGCAGTCCAAGGATGTCCTTCGCGTCCATGCTAAATTTTCCAACCCTCCCCCCAGAAATTTAATTAGGGATTTTGCGATCCATCCAAATTCACAATCTCTTCTGGGAAAGCAGTCGGCCTCTTTTCTTAATTAGGGATTTGATGGGATCGATTCTTTGTTTGCAGGAGAAAAATTCTAGGTTTTCTTCGAGCGCGAAAGAAGTTGTTTTTGAGCAGTGCAAAAATCAATTGCAGATCACTGACAGGCCGGTATTGATGACCGGGAACCTGCTCCTCCAGTTCCCATCTATTTTCCTTTAAATATAGATTCTTATTTTCGAAGTGACTTGAATGTTATAAGTTTTTTTTTTATTTTTTTCAAAGAAAAGTGCTTTTTTATTATTATTAAAATAGTGTGGAAAATACCTATGACATTTTAATGTACAGTTTTCTCCATTATATTCTGCTCATTTTATAAAATTGTCCTGGAAACTACTTCATGGAAATGGGAGAAAGAATAGTAAATTGAATTTATTTTTTATTAAAATGAATAATATGAATATTAATTGTTTAATTTAGGATTAATGTTTGGGGTGATTATCAATTAAAGATCTAACGTTTTATTTATTCCAAATTAAGATCAAATGTTTTCAAAATCTAACAAATAGGATCTTTTTAAACAGAATTGAAAAAATGCACTACACATTGTTAATTCACGTAAGCCACTGAATTATTTTACTTACATATCATTTTTGCTGATGAGACAAGCCACTAATGTTATTTTTTTTATGTGGTAATATTATTGTCATGTTCAATTAATGATAAAAATGAACTTAAATTGTAATTTTGAAAAATCCCAATTTAATTAACTATTAAAAAAATTTTCTGTCCTGTTTACATTGCTCTCATCTGCAACATAAACCATTGGCATTGCTCTCATCTACAACGTAAAAGCTTTCAGTTTCCACGTCCTGTTGACTTTTTTAAGACTTCGTTTATTTAGTAAAAAATGACTTTAAAAGAATAATTTTTAAAAAATATTTATATTTTTTAAATTAAAAGAAATTTTTTATTGTTTGAATGAGTTAATAAAAAATATTTCTATTATTTAGTTGTTTTTTGAAAAATTATTTTTTAAATAATATTAATATAATTATTAAAATATTAAAAATTATTGATTATTAAAATTATTAATATTCAAAAATAATTATATTTTAATAATATATTTAATATTAAAATATTATGTTAATATAAAAATAATTAAAATAAAACTATTTATTATTCTTTATATTATTTATTAATATATTATAATATTATTTATTAATAAGATTTATTAATATATTATTTTAATAGTATATTATTTATTAATATTATATTATTTATTCATTATTATTATATTATTTATTAATTAAATTAATAATATTTATTATTAAATTATTTATTAATATATATTATTTATTAATATATTATATATTATTTATTAATATTATATTAATATATATTATTATTCATATAATATTATTTATTAATATAATATTATTTATTTATTAATATAATATTATTTATAAGTAAAATTATGCTTAAAAGAATTAATAAATAATTATACTCATAAAAAGCTCTTTTTTCGAAAAATATCTTCTCATTTTCAAATCCGCAATACAATTTAAAAAAAAAAAGCCTTATTGTTCATTCACCAGTAAGTCATTTTTCGTTGACCAGCCAATTATTTATCAAATAAATACCTAAAAATATAAAAATCAATTTTTAAAAATCAATTTTCACGAAATAAACAGAACCTAAAACTATTATTAATTTAAGTAAAGTAATTGTTTTGGATACTAGTGGTTTAAATGGTGACCTGGAGGTCATGTAAGGGATTGATCTATACCTGTAGCAAGAAGCACAGTTGAAAAGTCGAAGTTGATTCTTTGATATATACTCTCACACTTAAGTTAGTCAAGTGTTTAGGGTTTGTGGATAAAAAATGTGAGCTATAAATAATAGATAAAAAGTTTTAAAAAGAAGAGTTTAGAATTAATGTATCTAAACATCCTTTTTATCTTAAATACGAGACAATGGATATCCTTTTTATCTTATATACAACACAATGAATGGTGATGTGATTAAAGTTGTTGATAATTAACGAAAAGTTCATGTAGAGCTTGAGGAATGTGAAGCTTGAGAAAAGATTATGTGGATAAATGTGAGTTGAATTTAATAATTTTAGGTTAATATTTGTTGTATTTAATGATTTCAGGTAAGTAAGAACCCAATTGGTATATTGTGAAGTAATGTCGTAATGGGACATTAGTATTGGTAGTTGGACAAGCCTATCCATAGGCAAATGAGTGGTGATGAGCTGGTATTGTGGCAATGAGTTTTAATGTCAATCCTTTTTAACGGTAACGTGACAGTCGAATACATATCGATTTAATGAGTGTGGATGTTGACCTTTTTAATTATTGTTGACCTTGTTGACTATTGATTGGGTATAACAATTGGCCCCAATGTCCTAAAAAGATTATAAAGTGATCGCCCTTAGACTTTTACGAGGGCATGCCATCGAGATTTGGCGAGTCATTCGGGTCGGGGAACCTTTTTATGGTCAGCTTCTTGAGGACTTGCCAATGTTGATATATGGCTTTTGTTTAGGCGAGTAGTGCTGATGATATGTCCGTGTTGGGAGAAAGATTTTATCTTGGTAAGCCACGTGATGACGTGTCCCTATTGGGCGAGGGACTCTGCCTTGGCAAGTTTGTTGATGACGTGTCCATTTTTAGGAGAGGGACTCCATCTTGGCAAGCCATGCTGATGATGTATCCTGTTGGATGAGGGACTTTGTCTTAGCAAGGTTACTGATGATATGGTATGTCGAGGCATATAGAGTAGTAAGTGAGGAGAAATTTTTTTCTGCCCAGACATTGTGCAGCACATGTGACACCAGTAAATAGAGTGCGTCTTCAGGCAAGTTTTAAAATGTGCACCTCTGTTTTTTAAATATGCGGCTGTGTGGGTCCTACGGTGTAGTGGGGTTGAAAGGTTGTCAGGAACAATTAATGGTTTGAAATTTTAAATTATAATAGTTCAGCGAGTGAGGGAATAAATGTGTTTTTTTTTAACCGTGTAACCAAAGCATCAATCCTAATTTGGGAATTAATATAGATCGTTTCATGACCGATCAAAACAGTGCTTTAATTCGTATCATTTCAATAGGACGTGTGGCTGAGTATAAATAGCAAAGACGGAAAAACTTATACTCACATTGTCAATTTTTGAGCAATGAAAGCATTTGGTTGTCTGAGTTTTGTGGGTGTTGTGAGTTCTGTTACTATTAGTAGAAAATTCTTGTAGGTAAGGGATTTCCTAGGTTTTATTATTTGTTAATTTGAGTGTGACTTAGCAAAATGGCACCAAAGAAAAGAGAGGTGATTACGGATTCAAGTGACAATAAAAGGTGTTACAGTGCTAGCTACTAGCATTAGGGCTCAAGGTAGGAGAGAAAGGATTCAAGGGAGGGATTGTGGAAACTAGGGGCTTCAAGGCAACAGTGGTTGTTGTCGTGGTATAGTGATTCAAGAGTGAGGTGCTCTGACTTTGAGGCATGTGCCCCTGGTGGCAATAAAAGAAAAAGAAAAGGGAAGGGGAAAGAAATGGTTGCAGAGGAACCGAAGGACCTCGTGCCAGGGACTTGGCCTTTAGATGTGTACCAGTTCGTGGCCACAGTAAGCATGGCAAACCAACTCTTGGATCGCATAAGCTTTAACCTATAGAGCTCAATGTACTTTGTTCTGTACCCCTGAAGGTTTCACAATTAGTTAGGTAGGGGTAAATAAAGGACTGTCAGGGTTTTATTTGCATAACTTCTGCCATGGGCTTCACCACCGTTGCACCTTTTCTTCCATCTTTTAATTTTGTCGCATCACAGCTAGTCCTCAATGCTTGGGGATACTACTGACCTACTTATCTACTATTAATTAAGGAAGTGGGTTCCTTCTATGAATGTAATCTCGGTGTTGTACATGTTGAAGGACGTCAACAGGTGGCTCTACTACCTCTAAGCTCGTGGGTGGTCGTCTGTGGTGGAGTTGCTTTCCAATAGCCATCCCAACTAAGATAGGTTCGTGGTGGCCCACACAAAGATACCTACCGTGCGATTTCTTTTTAAAATTAAGTGGTCCTATGCTAGTGCGTTGGCGAGGGGAACTCTCAAGCTTAGAGAGGATGAAGCCAAGCAAGTGAATGTTTTGAATGACAAAAATTTGTCCTATGCCTCACTGGCCATCCACTAGAATATTAGCGATGACGAGGGCTTAACTGCTGCTGTACAAGAGGTGTTAAAACAAAGGGAAGAGCAGGATGGGGGTGGTGAAGACCGGGGGTAAAAGTTAGGAGTGCAAGCCCTAATGCCCAAGGGGAAAGAGGACTTGGGTGGTAAAAAGAGTAAGTTGGCCATTCGTATCTTGCTTGACTTGTAGGTGAAATTAGTTAACTTAGAATCTATGTTGATGTGGTTTTGTTGTGTATAGTATTATTAAAGATGGTGGCGATGAAAGCTAGAAACCCTTGGTTGTTTAAGGAGGTAAACACGCAAAAGGACTGGGTCGCGTGGCAGGAAGTACTGGAAGAGAGGCCGGCTATGCCCTGTCACTGTTAGCATGCATGAGGATGTTGGTGTGTAGAATTCTACGGGGACCTGAATGTTCGCAGGTCGTTTAGGTTAGTAGGGGTGCTAGGTGTTAGTGGGTCTATAGGATGGGCTCGGGTGTGCCAGGCTAAGGTCGTGGAAGATGGTAATTGTATTATGTTTTTATTCTTGTGGTGATTATGGTGAACGTATATTCTATGTCCTTTGTTTATTTGTAGAAATGGATTAGTGTGCTCCAAAGTCTAAAGGGATCTTGTAGCAAGTGAAGTGGAGGGGAATAGGTCTGGTAGTGCCCTATCTTCGAAGAAATAAGCTGTTGGTATCATCTAGCGAGCCAGTGGTATACGATGCCACTACAAGAAATATGTCATATACCAATGATAAAAAAATCATCGTAAAACTTAAAAATTTATCAGTATAATATAATAAACCTTATATTGACAGTTAAAATATATCTTTCGATTAATTTTTAATTGTCGATATATCCTTTATTAGTCTAGACATATACTGATGGTTTTTTAAGATGTTAAAATAGATAGTAACGATATGCCAATGGTCTAAGTACATTAGTAATTGTATATCCGTTCGTATAGCATCTGTTGTATGTTCTACCATTATACCTTTTATTGACGGTTAACATTAATCAGTATAGATTTGTATTTTTGAATTTTTTTGACCTAAAATGACGATTGACGCTCGTCATTATAAACTTATATGTTTTAATTTTTTTTTACCTATATTGATGGTTAACGTCCATTGGTATAGACTTACATATTTTATTTTTTTCGATGAGTTATCCGACATTACATTTTATTGACGATTGGTGATTGTCAG